TCCCGGAGTCGGGTCTCACAAAGTTGGCATTCTTCTCAAACGTACCAAAATTCACCGCATCCCCACAATGCGTCCGTTCGCGAGGATCTGCTGAAATACTACATACATACAAAGATTGTTATCAAATCACGGGCCACGAGCGCCCCTTCCTCCTGCAGCCCTATTCATGTCATGGCATGTCGTCACAAAAACCATGCGAAAAAGCTCTGGCACGAAGACCGCTGCATGAGAGACACGAGCAAGTGCTCGCCGAAGGGAGGGCGTGAGGAAGGCTGTTGGTGTATGCTCAAAATTCTTGAGCAGCTCATAACTTGTGTGTGGAGAAAGTACGATCACCCGAAAACTTGCTCGGAGTACACAACCAGAGTGGAACTAAGCATGCGGTGACTTCTAGACCACAGGCGCTCGCCAAGACAGTGCTTCGATTGCTTTGCGGTATGGTGTCAATTTTCCTTCCCGGCACACAAATGACCACGAGGTTACATATGAGCAAAGGAGGACCTGTCACAGCGTTCTGCAGCCAGGTGGGACAAGAAAAGGTCGCACATACTGTAGTTGCTGAGGAGCGTGGATCTACCATAACGTCCGCAGATTGCTTTGAAGAGGAGGCGAATTGCCCGTGCAAAACGACAGCACTACAAATGTACCGGCCACAAGGAACGAGAATTGTTTCAAATGGTCTGCTTTTATTGAGGGTGACCTGCATGCCTTTCCTAATCTGTACACTGCTGTGGATGATCACACATATTGGGACGCTTCTATACCTGCGGGGGCGTTGTTGGCACGGAGCTGCTCAATCCTGGAGAGCCGGTCCTCCTTCTTCAAAAGGAGATGGAGCTCGCGGAGCTGCTCCTCCTTCCTGCGTAGCTGCTCCTCCTTCCTGCCTAGTTGCTTCAAGAGGGCTTCGGGGTCGGTCATTCCGAGGTACCTGGAGCCCCCAGCAATAGCAGCCTCAATACCATCAGTCTTCTTGACAACCTCTGCCGTCTCCTTCTCTACATCCTCGATCTTGCGCTCTACACCACGGATCTCATCCTGGACCGCACGGATCTCGTCCGCCGCCGGACTGCCATCGGCAGCTTCTCGCGCATGATGATCGCCGCCCCCCTCCTCCTCGCCGCCCTCGCTCATCGCGCTCAAGCTCGTCATCCCTGGCACCGGGTAAAAAAATTGCGCCCCACAAGTGTCACACGCCCCGAACACAGGGCAGATCGGACCAGAGGGCTGCGAGAGCGAAAACGTCGCCGCCGCAGGCGTGGAAGCAGGGGGCTGCGAGCGTGACGACCTGAACGTCGCAGTCCAGCTCGGGACGAAGGCCAAGCATGCTTGTGCGATACCAACCAGGAGAAGAACCGACACACAATTCCTTGACATCTTGAAACCAATGCTCTCTTCGCTTCGCTTAGTAGGGGTGCGGCGGCGGCGTGTTTCTCTTTTCGATGCCTTCCATCTTTCGCCTTCCTCTGCCTACCGCATTGGTTGCTTGACTCTTGCCTGGGTACCTCATTTGGATAAAATGATCTTGCGGACTCCCTAGGCTGGCACCAGCGTGCCCACAGCGACTTCACACGTGTTGCAGCCCATGGAAAAATAACCATATTGATTTTTTTATTTTTTTATACAATCAAAATATAATCATGGAATCACATCCCGGGAGGTTACGCCGCGAGGAAATCTAGTTCGTTCTGCTCCACCTCTCGTAATAGGGTCGATCCAAAATAGTGCACAGCATCGAATCGTTCCTCACCGACAGGGCTACCTACCCTGCGATTCTCGTGCAATTTGATGCACTCTACGAAGGTGCACCTTTGGCTCGAAGTTGAAAAGTGTGCTTCCAGGATTTCTATTGCGGGCTGAAGTTTGAATTCGTGAGGTGGGGTGGTCATTGTGACTGCTGTGCTCCACGGCGCCGGTACACGAGGGTCAACGCTCCACTGGCACACAGCACACAACACGAAGCTGGAGGTGGCAGGAAGCTGGCCAGCGGGTCACGTAGGTGGGTGAAAGCAAAGATTCGTTTGAGCAGGACACCCTGTAGGGCCTGCGCAGCGGCGGAACAACTCGAATTTTGAATCCAATTCCCACACAGCAGCAGTAGATGCGATGCCAGGTACCCTGCAATACATGAGAGGTATCACGTCTCGTGTATGCTTTCCCGCGTGAACCATAGCAGTCTATATAGGAGAGGACATTGCGCACATGTTTGGTGCGGTATGCATACGCTTACGTCCAGCACATGCGATGATCGTAAGATACCACCCCCCCAGCCGCAATATAATCTCCACTGGTCTATCCATATACTGCACCAAGGGGAAGGAGGGAGTCCGGTTTATTTTCTTTTTTGTTTGGATAACAAACCGCGTCTTGGAGACGTTTCTGAGGTCAACTTGACAAGAAGGTACAGGAGTCCTCCAAACTGTTCAGAATACGATGCGTAGGTCTGCTCGCCACATAAGTGATCATGCGAAACACAACACGAAAGATATTTTAGATTATTGGCTATTGGTTTGTGGGAGAAGATGTAGCCTTAACAACATGTTGGCACGTTAACGTCGTAGGTGGTAGATGGGGAGCCAAGCGACGAACAAACGTAGGCGTCAAAGGCAACTGCTGAAATTCCGGAGACCGGTGGAGATCTCGAAGAAGATGTTCGATCCTGGCCTTTGCTCGTGGAGAGACGTGTACAAGGCGATTCCGAATCGCGGGCAGGGAGACTTTTGGCCCTTGTCGGTGATATTTCTCGCCTTACACAGAGGTGGAATGGATGCCCACAGAGCGCAATGTGTGCTGTCGACACAACGTAAGGAATTGGCGGACCTTATCCTCCTTTGTCGGGAGCTCATCGTAGAGTACCAAGCAGCTACAGGAGAGGGGGGGGCCTTCTTTGTAAGCCAAAGCGACTCGGACAAACCGGATGCGGACATCAAGAGCATGGCCAAATCCACCGCCGACATCTGCACGTTGGAAGACTGGAAACGCGTCACCCTCTGTCCCGAAGGCTACCTGGACGACAAAGCTCTTGTGATCCTTGGCAAGCTGTTATTGCGCGAGGTCATCCAGCTCGTCAAGGAGGATGGTATCGTGGGAGAGCGTATCGTGGACGCCAGAGAGCCGTCCGCTTTGCTGGGGGCAAACCTGGTCCTCCACCGTGGAGCCCACTTCGAGGCTCTTCTCCCGAAAGTGAGGACTGCCGTTTGCCGTTGTCGTGACGAATCGTGAATGGAAACTATACGTCACGTGAGTTCCACCAAGCATAGACAAAGTTTAAAAATTTCCAACCTCCTTCCCATTTACAGGACGAGTTGAGGGCCAATGATGACACCGGTGACGCTGGTGGCGAGATTTGGTACGCACGACCGAACATTGGTATTCGAGGGGTATGATAAAGCAGGCTGCCCCAAACTTCGACGTTATTGATCTTGGCGTGCAACGGATGGAATGGTTGGTGGCGTACTGGCTTTCTGTGGTGCCGCTTGGTTCCGGCAACTATCCGATTAAAGTGCCCGACTGGAACGGCAAGGGGTACCTCACGAACCCGGAGTGTGATGGAGGTGCTTTGGTGCTGTTGCGCACGTTGCCAAAGGTAACTCTCTGGGCGGGTGTAGGGGTTAACATAGTGTCGTGCAGGTGTTCATCCCAGAAGGGAAAGGGCCAAAGTAAGGATTGTGTTTGCATGAAAAACGGTGGTCCAGGTCGTTGCTCAGAGTTGTGCAAATGCAAACTTGCGTGCTGCGAGGAGCAGAACACAGTAGTAGACGAGGGTGGTGCAGAGCCGACACCCGAGGAGGAATTCTGTCCAGACGATAGTGACACCGACGACGAAGAGGAGGATTCACCAATGGTAGAAAGGTTGGGGGTGCACCAGGACGATAGAGACCCAGCGTTAGAACACGACGATAATTCACCGGCTGTAGCAAGTTCAATCATGGACATGAGTTTCGGTGTGTGCGGATTCTTAGGGGACGATGAGCGAGAGTACGAGAAGCAACTCGTGAGTGAGGGGTGGGAAGGTACGCTACAGCCGGTCGATTGTAGGGACCAGGTTGTATCCGCCCCTAGTAATGAAATGTCCGTGTGATGTACTTGCCAAAGTATTTTTCGAAATGAGACTCATCGTATAGCGCAGAGGCCGGGGCACAGTCTGTTGTGTACTTGCCTGGGGCATTCATAGAACGATCGTACAAACTAACAACAACGTGCAGATTGATCGTTCGTCTGGCTCCAGAGAGCCTATCCGATCACAGGCAAAGAAAAACGAGGCCGGATTGTCTTGTATTTCTTTCACAAGGCACATGCCCACACCGCCGAGCGCGCTTCCACCCACCACCAACTAACCAAACCGTAACACGCGTCCACGTCTCATTTATCATTTATTTAGGGATTGGTTGTCGTACAATCGTGCTCAACTATTGGGGCTGCGATGATTAGTTGCGAGCTTATCCGAAAAAAATAACACCGGGATTTACTGTGGGCTGCTACAAGAGCGCGCCATACATAGGGGAATGCAAAACAACGCACCCGCGTGACATCTGTACCTTACATCACCCTCGCAAATACCTTCCACTCGTTCCCCAACGCTTATTATTCCGGGCAGAAGACCATTCGCGTATCACAGGTACGCGCACTACCACCATCAGCATACCACACGCCCCAAAATTCGCCAACCATGACGTGCGCGGGTGTGTACCTAGCCCTCCTAAAAAAAACACACACAGCGGGGGGAGTCGCGTGAAGCCAGCCTCCCCGGTCGGCACATGGTTCCAAGAACGACAGTGGCAGTTTCAGTGCCACGCCTTTCGCAGCCAGCGACAAAGCCGACTTGACATATTCTAGCGCGCCCTTGTACGGGGGGCTCGTCAGGACCCAGTCAGGTCGTTGCCCAGGCTTGGCTAACAGAAAGTCGACAGCAAATGACGCCAAGCTTGCGTCCAGGTTCGTGTCCGGGGGCAACCCTCCAGGGGACAATCTGGTGTGAAAAACAATATGACAAACGGATAGTTCGGGTGAGAGGGAAGTCCCAAAAAAATTGTCATGAGGGTACGTGGCTATCTCGGAAAGATTTAAAGGTGGGAGATCCAGGAAAAAGTCGCAAGGGACCTTCCTCTCGCCCACAAACGTACCACCTGATTATGGTGACTACAATGTACGTGTCGTATGTGTCGATCACTTCGAGACACTAAAAATCCCTGAACGTCATCATTGCGTTTACTTTGAACCACACCACGCCTGTGCCACTGATTTTACGAGCAGATACTTCATGAAAAAAGTAGTTCGCTTGCACTCGACCAGCTCTATGTTCAACCTAGCAGAACTTTCAACACCAAACAAGGCAAAGAAATGCAAGGAGGTACCCTTTTGGCTGTAATTGACAACAACACAAAAGAAAAAAACTTAACAGTTTCGTATCCCCAATCCTGCAAATACCAAAAAGACACGGAGCTCGGGATGCTGTGACGCTACTGTTGATCGCGGTCGGAACACGCCTTGAAACGCAAAGCGATATACCAGTGATATCATGCAACAATAAAGAACAGCTTGGGACTAGCTTGCTTTCAACAAAAATGTCGAAGGCACGCGCGACTGGTCGTTGCGATGGACCACGAGAACAAGAAAAGTGGGAGCGATCGGTTGTAGGAAACAATAAGCTCCGAACATGCACTTATCATGTCATGCCCGCAATTTCAAAGGCACGTTCCGCTAGAATATCCAGCGCTGACTGACAGGCGGGGCGACGTTCCGTTAGATTACCCCGCCGCCGACCAAGAGAAGCAACACGCAGCAGCACTCACCTAGTGCTTATGTCGTTCGTGACGACCTTGCACGTGGCTCCAAGACGAGTTGCAATGGCATCGCCTGGCCCCCCACACATGTCGAGGACACACCCCTTGAGTTCAACAGCACCCAGCAAGGCCTCCACAGCCTCAGGCGAAGTGCAGTAGCGATCCAGACAACGGCGTTTGATGTGCTTCCTCGGTTCAGGAATACCGGTCCACTTTGCGCCGTGCCGCGCTAGTTGCTGAGCTCGAAGCTTTGTGAGCGGCTTGTTCTTCTTCCGTAGCTGCTTGATGTACAGCTGCAGGAGGCAGTCCGGCCGGTTGCACAGGACAAGCCGGTACATGCCCGAGCCCTCAGCATTCAAGGAGGGGAATTTTCGGCCATGCCGGCCTCTTCGATAAAAGCCCATACTTGACGCCCGGTCCTTTCCCTGAGGCGCCGAAAGTCAGAACGATCACCTCCTCCTTCACCACACGCGCGTACGGACGAATCTCCTGTAGTGGCTGTTCCCAGCCAGAGCCATAGCCTCCTCTGCGTTGACGCCCCTGTTGTTGATGATGTAGGCCGCCACGCGGTGGACGTCCGGCTCATGCTTCGCTGCGATGCAGGTGCCGACCTCCCTGACAAACAGCAAGCGGCGACGTCAAAGAAAGAACGCGAGCAGGGGGGTGAAACGGGCAATCGTGACCTACGTTGGTCGCTACCATCGACGTCCGTGGATGGGTCATTGGACCCGTCGTGTGTGCCCTACTACAACACCTCAGTTAGCTTTACCAATCACCGAGACGATACGAATCGCAACATTTCCATGCAGTCGAAAATCTATCCCCTTTTCCGCTTTCGATTTACCTGGATAGTGCGGCGTGGAGAGGGTGTGCACTCAGTGTGTGGGTGGAAATAATCTGGACCTTGTGAAACAGGTCTGCGAACGGAGTCCTCTTCACGTTCGGGAAAATGTCGACACACAAGTGAACGGTGACGTCCTTCTTCCCTTCGCAGCAGGTGTCCGCAAACACCTTCACCACATCGTTCAGTGTCCCCAGCCGGTCCAGACGTGCCCTCAGCCTGTTCGTTGGTAAAAGGATGTGAAAACAGGGGAAAAAGGAAAAATTATGGGTCTCGAATCTAAGGCCGTCGTTTTCAACTGTGTGTCACCGCCGCAAAGAATGAGATGCCGCTCCAGGTTAGCGCAACAAGCTAGCGTCCATCTTCAAATATCTCCGATCTTTGGTGCGTCTACACACCCATCAACATCGCATCGCATGACTCACGCATGAAGCAATGGCAACAAGTTGCTCCACTTGTCGGACCGTAGAGCGGCCCATCCAATGATGTGGCCGAACTCTCCCAGCAAGAAGACGATGCAGGAGGCGTCGCCAGTGGCTATTTTCGCCAACCTGAACGTAGCATCCACCGAAACCGCTTTCCCTGGTGAGAGGTTGCAAAGCTCTCTCTTCAGAAGTAGCTTGACCTAGCAAGGGGGAAAATAAATGCAAACGATCAACAGCAAAGGCTTAGCCCATGTTTTGGCCTAGCTCTAGATGTGGATGCACTCTCAGCTCATGTGCAAGCATACCCAACACTCGTAGTTGTTCAAAACTACAGCCCTCCTTCCAAGCGTTCCTCACCGCCTGGAACGACTTCGAGCAGTACGTCTCCATGTATGCCTGAGAGGGGCCAGATAGAAGGGTGCCGCTCCCCACCACCCCCAACTTCGGGAACACTCCTGAGCCCTTGTGCATCGCTGCGAACACGTTCCAGCACGTGTGCCTCTGTCTCTGCTTGAAGTCGTATGCCTGCAAGAATAACACATCAATAGACCATAATGCAAAGTAAAACCGAAACTCCAATCAGAGGCCATCGTTGTACGCAAACCATATGATTTTTTTTTCTGGAGTAGCATCTGGAGTTGCATCGGGAAAGCACTTTCAATATAAACCCCGATCCTAGTTTTGCCGAGTTTATAGGTCTACTCTCCGTTCTGCACTTGTAAGATATTATTTATTTGACCGCAGGTATTCAGGGCACAACAAACACCCCCTAGCGTACCTCCTTCGCTTGACGGTGCAAAGCCGCTACAGGCTGCGCTCCTGTCACAGTGAGGTCGAGAAGGGCATGATCGGCGCCACCCTTACCGAAGCACTCGAAGTCGTACTTCGCTTGGACAGCCGCCGGAAGAAGTCTCATGTAACTTCGTGGGCGACAGAGCAGCGATACCGGGAACAATCGAAACGGTCAGGAATGTTGACGGCACGTGCGAGAATTGTAATAAACAACCAGCTGGACAAACAAAAGCCCGAAAGGGAGATGCCCCATTGCCATCAATGGCCAATTTATGCGGCACGAGAGAATCACACCTCTGGTCCGAAATCGTGAAAGACACGCCTCCCTTGAGCAGAGTCTTGACAAGACTCATACATCCTTCCCACTTGATATCACCCCTG